TAAAATAGTGCAACACCAAAATAAAATAGAATTTTGTTCCAATGTATATTTCATTTTTTTACTCCAAAAATAATATTTTACAGTAATTCAATTTTTATTTTACTAATAATTGTTAATAATACCTTATACTTTTAGAAATTTACTAATTAACTCCAAATATTTTATGTTTACAAAATTTCTTTAAAATATCATTTATTTGAATTATACATTGTTATTAAAAATACAAAAATCATAAACATAAAATAAAAGAAAATATATAATTTGGGTCAATAATGAGCATTAGAATATTATCCACACAAATGATCAACTAATGTATTACTGAAACAATTTCCCAGATTATTAAATCACTTGTTTTATATTATCTTTATTTTATATTATTTATGTTTTAAATTATATTATGCATTTTATCAAAAATTATTAAATACGGAATATCTTGTTTTTCATGTTACTGTATCATTTCAACATAAATAATATTATTTAAGTAAGAAATAAAATATTAAAAATTTAAAGAACCATTTCCTAAATTAAAAAAATTTAAGTATTATTTCATAAATAATAAATATAGTATACCTAGCCACTACTCTATTTTGAATTTGAAGATGAAGTGGAATTGGAGGATATTTTACTCCAAAATGATATTTGAAGTAGAAAATTGAATAGGATTGGAAATATCCTCGGGGCCTGTTTAAATCACCATTTAATCTAATTGATCAAGCACTTAATTATTATATATATATATATATATATACTACGGTAAACCCCGGTTTACGAACAGGTAAGAACGTTATAAGTATTTGAAAAGAATTTCAAATTTTAATAAACATTTGATATTTCAATTATTTTTTGTGTCTCTTTCGCTGTGGTAAGTAGGACTATTAAAAGTACTAATGTATTTAAATAACAATCGTATTGTGTGAATATTTTAATATATATTAATTCTCCTGGAGATCATTTATTCTTAAAGGACAACCTGTTTAGGACCACCCAAATTCATAAGTTTCGAGCTAATAGAATTAAATACAAAAAAATACGTATTTATTAAAGTTTTATGATGATAGTGTTCATGTTTTATTGGAAGAGGTAAGAATATAGTGCTAATTTGGATTGAAACCCAAATGGCATATTTTGTAATTTTCTCTTATTTTTAGGGTTTTACTAAAAATTAACAAAATATGATCACCTAAATTTTGTTTTTGTCACTGAGATTTTTCTAAACGTTTACATACACAATAGTTTAAAATAAAAGCATTAATATTAAGAAAGTTGTTATTTTTTAGAACATAGTATTTAATTAATAAATTTTACTAATTATAAAAATAGACATATTTGATTGGTCACATTATATCCATGTAAAAATACATTGATGTGAGAAAATTACCTATAGTTTAAAACAAAAAAGTTTCTTAATACTATTTACAATAAAAACGGAGGGAGTAGTATATAGGTTTAGTGAAAATAAATTATTTAACTTTTTTTTAATAAATATAGAATTTAAGAAGAAACTATAGTTTGCAAAAGAAGTGAATAATTATTAATGAAAGAGATCGAGCTATAAAACCGACATTTGTTACTTTGTATTTGTAACTTTAAGAATTAGTATTTTCTAGTAAAAGAACTATAAGATTTATTATTCTAAGTAATCCATAACCAATTATTGTTGATTTTTATTATTTTAAATTGAAATTTAATATAAATGTTAGTATTAAATAATTCTACTCAATAAAGTTAACAAAATATCTGATCAGACAATTGAAAAGCCATTTATTTATTTCTTTATATTTGATCGATGTGTTATGTGGACCATTCGCGGTGGCCTCTTCTTGTTAGGAATCATAGGAATCGTTTCGATTTCTTCATTCTTACAAATCGAATCGGAGGCTATCGAGGCCACGATACAGTTTTTTTTAATCTAAACTTCAGTTGTGATTAATTTTGTTCATCATTAGCTGATGCCAAAGACGTTTTGGTTAATCAAAAGTATATGAGGTATCTTTTAAGAAATCTGTGTAAAAATAATAAAAGTTAGATGTAGAGATTTTGCAAGGAAACTTACCAGTTATCCCATATAATTCTATTTATATATAATATTTTTAGGGAAACATATTGCACTAAAATTACAGTAAATAGGTAGGAAAAGTGGGATTTATTGAATAATGCCATAAATATCTCTATAATATTATTTGAGAAGTCAGTTTCCTACGTGTCGCGCTCACGTTAACTCTCGCAGTGGTTGATTAGATAGATACCCTCAATGAATTGTTAGATTTTAAGATTATTATTAATTTTTTTATTTACTTTCTTTTTACCTTTTTCAAAATAACATATATAATAAAAAGGAAATATTTCTAAAATTTTAAAACAAATTTAAAAAACGAAAGTATATGTATATAATATGACTTTATCAAAACGGAAAGTTCACAAAATAGTAATACCCCCATTAATATATATTTTTAAATAACATAAAATATATTTTCAAAATAATAAAAATATATATGTTCATGAACATTCAGAAATTTATCAGTTACACTTCATTTTCTAATATTGTTTAGAAATCAACATATAATTTGATAAATATTATGAAAATACATGTATATTTAAGCGATAAATAAAATTAATTTGATTTGACGTAACTAAAATAAAGAGTAAATAAATATTATGAAAATACATATATATTTAAGCGATTAATAAAACTAATTTGATTTGACTTAACTAAAATAAAAAAAGTAATTATACTTCAATTTTAATTTAAAAATATATTTGACTCAATATACTCACAAAATGAATGACTCGACTAATCTAATTTATATCCAAAATTAAACATCTAACTACAATAAGAACTTATAATTTATAATAATAATAATAATAATAATAATAATAATAATAATAATAATATTTAATTTTACATATAAATTTGACTCAAAGCATATTAAAAAGTAAAAGAAAATATTAACCAGTTACAATTTAATTCTTTTGTAGAGTTTATATATATGAGACTTCGAAATATTATCATTATATTCATTTATGTAATTTTGAATCAAAAAATTCAGCTTATTATTTATTTCATTTTAAGCACAATATATAATAAGTTATACATAATTTAAGTATAATATATTTACATATCTAAGAATGTATTTACATATCTAAGACAATAACCAACCGAAATGAAAATAAGAAAATTAATCAAAGTTTATTATATTTAGAATAAAAAATATTATAGATAAATTTGAAAAATAGATATTATCCAATATAACAAATTGATAACCAAACCGATTATTGATCCAAAAAAATAAACCGACAATAATATATCCAAAGTCATATGTATAATTAGAATAATATAATATTTATTAATATAAATTATACATATAATTTATTTAAAACTAAAACTAAATAACAATCAATTATTATAAAATTTTACTTTTATGAATATTCATATCCATGCATGAGCACGGGAAAATCACCTAGTTCTTAATTAAAGATGAATCAACAAACAAACGAAAGTCAAAAGATTAACCAAGAACTATGACACATATCATGCTGAGAAGAGATGAATTATTGACATAACACTCTCATATGAGAGAAAAATCTATTTTATATAATAAGATCTTCAGTAATTGATGGACCAAGTTGAGAAACAAATATTCATATTAGTATATAGTAGTTCATATTATTTTATTTGGTGGTGATTTTTCATATATAATCAGTTTAAAGGATATGTGATTATGATCCAGCTAATAAATATTAACAAATGGAAATATACTCGTAAGCTAAAGGCATATGTCTAGGTTCTTTAATTGTTTTTTCTTATTTACATAGAAATGCAATGGAGGAGGTAGTATGTGAGGAGGGGAGCACGTGACAAGGGAAGTGCTTAGCTTTCACGGGTTTAAGGCAAAAATTTTAATGTAAGCACTGATGTTATCAAATTTAATTCAACTATACATCCATAAAATATTAATAATCTAATATTTTTGTCCAATAAAATTTATTAGAAGAAAATAAAACAACTACTTATGAAAATGAAACAAGGTCAATTTTTATTTATCAGCTTACCTCTTTTATTTTATTTCTATTTTACATATATTTTAAATATTAATTTTATTCACTAGAAATATTTTGATTCAATAATTCAGAAACGTATATTTTCTTAGTTTCTTCTTTTGTAATTTTGGAATATATTTACAATCGAAATTTAGAAATTTCTTATTTAAAATAACTAACTTATATGAAATTATTACATAAATTCAGTTTTTATCTCATTGAAAATATTATTTAATATAAATGAATTTATAAAATTGATAACACCTAAAATTTATAAACGAATTTGAGATCAAAATTAGAGATATAATAGTTTAAAACTTTAACAAAAATATAATAATTTAAATATATAATGTCAAATACACTATAAATGTTTTAGTTTATGATTATAACTATTTTTAATAATATATCTTAAAATTAAAGTTATTATAACTCGACTAAATTTATATTTGTGGAGGAAGCACTTTAAATATGCATTATTCTCGTGTGTCCATTGTTTTTTATTTTATTTTTTTGTTAAAGTGTGTACATTATTTTGTATATAGTATAATATTCCACCATTATGTAGATATTTCAAATCATTCTAATTTATTATTCCTTGTGATTTAAAACAAACATGTCAGAAGGATAGTATCATAATAAAATATCAAAGACTCTTGAGATTAATGCATCAAATATCCTATACAATAATAAAATTAGACAATCATAATAAAATGAGTTGACGAAAAACATAGTACAATTAGTTGAGAAAACATAGTATGGTTTTATATAATATCTTCAGTAGTTTATGGACCAGGTTTTCCTGACAGATTCATCTATATAAACAGTCACCTATACTTCCCTCAATATATGCATAAGTTTTTTTCTAAGAGTTTTATTAAGATCACATAAAGTAATTAAGAAGATATAAGATGAAGTTGTGTGCATTGATGTTCAGTGTGCATTTTCTGTTTCTTGTTTTATGTATGTTCTTCAGTTGTTCTTTATCAGAGCTTTTAAGCTTGAAACATCCGGTGACTAAATCTGATGGTTCTTTGAACATTCTGGTCGTCGGAGATTGGGGACGACTAGGAGGTTATAATCAATCTGCCGTTGCTGCTCAGGTAATTAATAACTAGTGTGTGCTTATTAATACTCAAGATTTAAAGTGTGGTTGGAGTGAAAATTAGTCATTAATGTTTGACCTATCTCACGTGTTCAAGTTAAATAAAAATAATAACATAAATTTTATGGCTGATTTTTTTTTTTCTTTTGCTTGTCTGAAATATGTATTTGTACGTACCACCTAAATATAAATGATAAGGTTTGATTTGTTAGTGGAAACGTATTTCTTAAATCTGGTTGTTAGTTGGTTTGTTTTCCAAACATTTAGCATATGAGCATATATTCAAAAATCTGTTGCTAACATATCTTTCTAAATCATGAAATGCATATTGCGTAAGTGGTGAAATGAACTAAAAGCTTAAGTTTCGATTCATTAATAAAATTAACATTAAAAACAATTTCCTTTTATTGGGTCAAACAATCTTCTCATAAGTAAATTTGGAAATGAAATAATTTTTTTTGGAAATATAACAAACCTTCAATATTAATTTTATTCTGATTCGAATAAAAAATAGTCCACTCACATATTATCAAATTCTAGAAAACCATGATTAAATGTAACTTAATAAGAAAAACTGGGAAAATCAAGAATCTATTTATATAAATTGAATGTTTTGGAAAAATGCAGATGGGAATTGTGGGCGAGCAACTAGACATAGATTATGTGATATCAGTCGGAGATAATTTCTATTCTGACGGTTTAAATAACGACACTGATCCTGCTTTTGAAGCTTCATTCTCTCGTATCTACACTCATCCTAGTCTCCAAAAACGGTGGTATTCTGGTAATATGACTTCCTTGTAATGGCTTAACTAACGCTTACTTGTGTTATCTATGAATAATAAATGTCTGAGGGTTTAAAATCCTATATTATTACAGTTTTAGGTAATCATGATTATAGAGGAAATGTTTCAGCACAACTAAGTCAGGTTCTTACCCAAAAAGATTGGAGATGGTTTTGTCGTAGATCTTTTGTCATAAGCTCAGGTTCAACTTTTTCCTCTTGTTTTTTCATGTTCATGCATCCAAATATTATATTAAAGGATATAATAATGACGGCAAAGTTGTATTTGATACAAAGATTTATTGGATTATGAAAAAAATATTTAATAAAATAATTTTTATCTATTTACAAGTAGGATATAATTTACAGGTAGTATAGGATGAACCATTACATTTAACTAGCTTTTATATTATTTCTACCTATACTTACCTTAATTATTATTAAATATATACCTTGACTAAAATTTAGAAATTAAATAAAAAACCTGTTAATTTTAAAAGATGAATTCAGTTGATATTAACACTAGATTTAAATAACTAATAAATTATATTATATTTATTAATATAAAATTATATATGACTACAAATATATATATATATATATATATATATACATATATATACACTTTAATCTAAGTGCAAGACACAAATTCTTCAAAACCCTCATCACATTTCTTATAGATAAGAGTATTAAAATTAGATATATATATATATATATATATATATATTTGATAAAAATAAATAGTACTAATTAGCTACTACTAATATTTATGAAACGATCAAATATGTTATTATTGATATTTTTATAAGTATAATTTATGGACTATTCCAACAAACATGTAAAATACTTATCAAATATAAAACTAACTGAAAAAACATGAAACACATTTTAAGTTAGGTTTACGCGTTCACCTAAACGTTGAAAAGTGGATTGGATATTTTGAATTTTGGTTTTAATTTATATCATATCATAGGTCTCATTCTGATAAATTTGTAAGTAAGGATCATGTTGTATCACATTCTAAAACTCATAAAGTAATCATATATAATTCGGATCCAGGTTATATGGGTTAGATTGCATATATATAAATTATTGGTAATATCCAAATATTTTAATAACTGGAAAATTGTTTTATAAGATATACTTTTATTAAAGTTTTGGTGAGTAAAGATATTCTTTAGCATCACAATTACCATTACGTGCAAATAAATTCTCAGCACAAAAATCTTCTTAATAAATGATTAGATATAGAGGCAAATTATTTTTTTAGTATCTCATTATAAAAATTTAAAGTATTAACGAAAAATTTCTCAATGAACAAAACTTTTTAATAATAGAGTAGGTATCAGTAACCAAGTGGTACTAGTATACTGACAATTTCTTGGGGCTTGGTGTACATCCACATCAGTTTTGTGTTTGATTCTCTATAGAAACTAAATCATCATTATTTAGTCAATCTTGACTTGGACTTCAGCCCAAGTGATTTATATGGTGGATCATAAAAAATGATCGGTCCACCCTTTTCATTAGTCCGGAGATATTCTAATCTCGGATCAGGGAGCTGACAACCAGTCCACTTTATAGCACTAGGTGTGTTCCTCCCGGAAATGACAAGATCAGCCGATAGGGTATATATAAAAAAAACATATAAGTACAACTGAATTTGTATATCTATCACTAAATAGATGAATAGTTTTTAGAATCTAATGATAACAAATTTAGAGTATTAATAAGGAAATTTTCAACAAACAAAATCTTCTTAATATTAGAGTAAATATATGTAGAAATAATTTAATTGAGCATCAACAAAAAAACAGCTCAACAAACAAATGTTCTTAAGCAATTTATTTTTGAAATTATAGGACTAACTTGTTTAATTTATTCACATAAAAACATTTCAAGATAATTCATCTAAGGCTAATGTTCAAAAATAAACTTTTTAATATAATGACACATTTAAAAGAATGTGTAACGTATGAATAGTACAATTTCATCTGATTTTCACCTATATAAAATTCCAAATAATATTATACAAAAAACTCTTTTCTTATAAATTATATATACTTGTATCTTTTGCATAAAACAGATATACATTGCCTTGGTATGGTCTAAGCTGGAGTCTAATAAAGTCAGAAATTAAGCTATAGTAATATATTATAAATACTCTTTTATTCAGAATACTTTGGTCTTTGCTCTTTTATTATCTCCATTTTAGTTTTCATTTTTTCAATTGAAACAAGTAAAATAAACTGTACCCAAAGTAATAAATAATTTTAATTCTTAGATAAATATAGTTTTTTGAGTAATATTATCTTTATAAGTTAACTACAAATGATTAATCAATGAAAGTAACATTCTATATACACTTTATAATCCTTAATCGATACATAAATATATACTATCACTTAGTTATTACTAAGAAAATTTTGATAAGTGATGGTTATTTTGGTGTTTTAGGAATGGTGGACGTTTTCTTCGTAGACACTACTCCATTTGTAAATGAATACTTCACAGATCCAGAAGATCACACTTACGATTGGAGCAACGTGCTACCCAGGAATAGATATATCTCCAATCTCTTAGATGTAATACATTTTGTTTCAGAAATATCCATCTATGGTTTGATAAATTGTGCCTAATCACTTTGATTTTGCTATTGAAATGTTAGGATCTAGATTTAGCGCTTAAAAAGTCGCGTGCCACATGGAAATTTGTTGTGGGGCATCATGGGATCAAAACCGCAGGTGAACATAATGTGACTCAAGAGCTTATCGATCAACTTCTTCCAATTCTAGAGGTAATTATTCAATAAACCATTAGACCATTTTTGTTATTTATTATAACAATCATTTTTTTGTGTGAAACTTTATTTTGTACTTTGTCGTAATTCTCTTATTTACTAATTGAAGGATAATAAAGTGGACTTATACATGAATGGGCATGATCATTGCTTGCAACATATTGGATCTGACGGGTAAAGTTCTACTTTATATATTGTTTTTCATCAATAGGGAGTACTATTCTTCTGTGAAAAGAAAACATAAAATCAGTTCGTTTATAGGAAAATTTTGGTTTATCGGAATTTAGTTGAGTTTTTTTCTGTCAAAGTTATAGTGACGTTTAAATGTTTACTACTAAAAAAAAACTAAATAATTCATGGTTTGGATTGGTGAAGTGGGATTCAATTTCTGACAAGTGGAGGAGGATCAAAAGCATGGAGGGGAGTTATTCTGCCATGGGATCCAAAAGAACTCAAACTTTATTACGACGGACAAGGTTTCATGTCTCTCCACATCACTCAGTCTCAAGTCAAGTTCATCTTCTATGATATTTCCGGCAATGTTCTTCACCAATTCACAATTTGAGATTTTTTTTTTGGAAAAAATGTGAGCTTGTTTATTTGTAAGATATGTATCTATTTTGATTGTTGTGTGGAATAAGTGAGACCACTTGATGTGCATATCATTGGTTTCTTCTGCTTCAAGTTATTGTAATTCAGTAAACTTCTATATAATTGCTATTTTGTGTGAAAAAAATAAGGCATCTTAGTAAGAGCATCAAAGTAAGGTTTCAAGTTACTGTAATTTATATTGTTAATTATTTCAACGACCGACTTTGTAATATTTTGTATGACTTTGGGATTTCATCAAATGAACGGTATACATATCATACCATCTAATCTATTAAAATTGAAGTATATTCAGTAATTAACTAATTTTAAAATATAATATTTTCTACATTAATAACATATATCAGTTTTATATACAAATTACATAATCCATAAATTATATATATAACTTATTTCAAAACACAATATATTAGAGTATAAGTATAATCTAAAATTAACATTAAAACAAAAAAAACTTAATTACTTATTATATTACTCTCATTTCTCTTTTAAAAAATACAGTCAATACACAACAAAATTCAATAATGTGTTAAATAGGATATAATAAGAATCAAAACAACATTCAAGACCATATGAAACAATATTTATTGTTTAAGATAATAATAAAATTAGTTCGATCAAATCTGTAATAAGATTATTGTATTCAAAGTACATACTAAAAAATATTTAATATTGGTAAATTTTTTTTTAAAAAACATATATTAAATCATATTAACATAATTAAATAATATATAATCTAAATCGAACACTCGTGTGGACGCACGTGTCAAATCTAATCTTTTAAAATTGATGTATACTTTAGAAATCCCTTTAAATTTTCTTAAATATTACAACTGTGCCATTGAGTTTTAATTTTTATTAAATAATAATTAGAGAAATTAGTTGTACCTACCAATAATTTCCCTATTTTCTTTTTTTTTTGAGAAAGGGCTTTACTATATAAGAAATGGCCTTGAAGGCAATTGTTTGGGCTTTACCCATTACAAAATGATTAGACAAAAACTACAATGGCCGAGGCCCAAATAGAACTGCAGCTGAACCAGAATAGGTAGATTTTTAAGGAGAAAAGTTGGTTAGGCGATCACCACGAGGGGAAGTGGAGAGGGTGAGCTAGTTTCCAAACCAGATTTGCATCATCTGGGAGGAGAGAGCAGGGTTTAGATCCCGCAAGCTTGAAATCCGGTTTCTGATGAGGGAGTCCACCTGCTTGAAGATAGAAGAGGATTGGCGAAACTCTTGCCGATGGAGTCTGTTGTTGCGTTCAATCCAAGTGAAATAAATCGAAGCTTTCCATGCGAGGAGGACAAGTAGGCGATGGTGCTTAGGGAGATTTGAGGATTGGAGGATTCCTATCCCATCCGAACAGTTCCTAGCCGGAGACCATTGAGCTTTGCGGGATAGCCGCGACCAAAGATCCCAGGAGAAGGGGCAATCAAAATAAAGATGATCTCTTGATTCCCGGGAGGAATTGCACAAGATACACATCGGATCAGTAGCAACACCCCATTTAATCATCCTGTCCTTTGTAGGACTCCTGTTTAATATCATCAGCCAAGCAAGAAAATTATGTCTAGGGATACCACGAGAGGACCAAATTACAGAGTACCATGGGACACGAGGTTGGTGGTGCTTGATCTCATTATAAATCATTCCCGTGGAGTAGACCTTTAAAGGGGAGCCAAGAGGAACCCATTGGTATTCATCAGTTGTTGCAGAGAGAGTGATTGTAGACAGATGAATATGAATATTAAGCTGGAGTTCTGATCGCGGATGAGGCAAGAGCCAGCTTCCTTCCTGATAGAGGTCAAACAAAGTAGATGTTGGTCGAATACCCAGGCTTGTGGTAGGAGGGAGCTGGAGATAGTCTCTGAGGTTCCCGTGAGGGCTCCAATTATCCGTCCAGAACCTGCAATTCCTCCCATTTCCCGGTTTAATCTTGATCCAGCTATAGGCAAGATCTCTAACTCTTAGAATTTTCTTAGTAGCAGAAGAGTGAGTTTGCTTTTCTTTCAGGGTCCATAGGTTACTAAGGTCACCGGAGAGTATATTTTCCACAAACCAGGCCACCCAGATGGAGCCTGACCTGAAGAAAAGGAGCCAAATCATCTTGATCGAGCAAGCTTTGTTCCACCAGATCAAATTCCGGATGGCAAGACCTCCCTCCTCCTTCGCCAAAGTAACGGTTTCCCAAGAGACTTTAGCGGAATGGTTACCTTCTGAAGTTCCCTTCCAGAGATACGCTCCACAAAGAGAGTGGATGATTTGAATGCACTTTTTGGGTATGGAGAAGGTTGAACACCAAAAGTTAGAAATGCCTGCGATAACGGTGTTGATAAGTAAGAGTCTACCCGCAAAAGAAAGAGTTTTTGCCGTCCAGCTGTTGATTCGACTCTTAACCTGTTGGATGAGAGGTTCACAATTAGCAATAGTAAGCTTCTTAGTACATAACGGAACCCCTAGATACCGGATCGGGAGAGAGCCCCTTGTGAGGCCACACTGATCGATAATTTGGTCTATTTCAGGCTGGTGGACTCCACAGGAAAAGAAGCACGTTTTGGAAATGCTGACTGAAAGGCCGGATAGTTGCTTGAAGTCCTCAAGAACTTCAAGAACATTTTTCACAGATTGGAGAGAACCATCGCAGAAGATTAAGAGGTCGTCCGCAAAACAGAGGTGAGTGAGCTTTGTATTCTTACAGGCGTGATGGTAGCCAAACTTACCCTCTACAGCAGCTTTATCCAGGAGTATTGACAAGCAATTCATGGCAATGACAAAAAGGTATGGAGATAGGGGGTCTCCTTGGCGAAGACCTCTGTTACTCTTAAAAAACCCTTGCACCGTACCGTTGAAACCTATCATGAAGGAGGGGGAAGTGATACACGCGTGGACCCAAGATATAAATTGCTCCGGCAAGTTCATTCCGCAGAGACAGTTGAAAATGAAGTTCCAGTTCACAGTGTCGAAGGCCTTGGCTATATCAACTTTGATGGTAACTCTGCTCGGGCCCTTGTTCCTGTGATAACCATGAACAATCTCAGAAGCAAGAATAGTGTTTTCTACTAATAGTCGACCTTGCACAAAAGCGGTTTGATTTGGCAGAATAAGAGCTGGTAGAAGAGGTTTCAAACGTTTCACCAGTAGCTTTGAGATCAGCTTATACAGGGTATTGCAGCAGGAAATAGGCCGGTAGTCTCCAATAGCAGAGGCTCCAGGGTGTTTCGGAACCAGGGAGAGGATTGTTGCGTTGCAGGCGTGCGGTAGGTGGCCAGAACTGAAGAATGAGTTGATTCCGGCGATTACATCAGACCCAACAAATTCCCATGCCGCTTTGAAGAACCCAGAAGTGAAGCCGTCTGGCCCTGGAGATTTATTTGGGTTGAGCTTTAGCAGAGTTGAAGCAATCTCTGCCGAATCAGGTCTGGAGGAAATAACTGCTTGGGAGTGCAGCGAGCATCTATAGTCCGTTAGGTTTTGGAACCAGGCAACAGAAGAGGTCGAGCTAGGAGGATTCACTGGGGCTAGGATGTTTTGAAAGTGGTTAATAGCGATCAGTCCCATAGCAATGGGATCAGAGATGATTGCCCCATTAGCCAAACAGAAAGAACGGATCGAGTTGTTTGAGTTCCTAACTTGAGTGAGTCTATGGAAGAAGGTAGTATTGTGGTCTCCCTCCCTTAGCCAACTAATTCTTGACCTCTGCCTGAAATAACTCTCCTCCAAGGATCGCAGGAAATTATATTTCTCCATCAGAGCTTTTTCCTCAAGGAAGTTCTCCGGAGTCGGGTCAGATAGTGCTTTCACCTGCGCAAGTTTAAGCAAACCGTTAGTTTCTATAACCCTCTCTTGAATTTTTGAATAGTTCTCTCTATGAATTTTTTTAAGCACTCTTTTTATCTGTTTTAGTTTGAAACAGAGATGAGAAAGGTCCAATCCAGTCCCGCCGCATTGATTCCATTCCAACCCAACCAGCTGGCAGAAGTTAGGGTGCTTGGTAAGGAAGTTATAGAATTTAAAAGGTTTAGTACCAGCTCTAGGGAGGTCAACAGCTAGGTCAAGAATGGCTGGAGAGTGGTCAGAGATCTCAGGGGCAAGGAAGGTGGCTAAGCTATGCGGGTGAGAGGCTAACCACGCATGGTTGACAAGCAAGCGGTCAAGTTTTTTGGCTATTGGCTGAGAAGGTGATTTGTTGGACCAGGTAAAAAGGGGACCCAAATAACGAAGATCAAACAGACCGGTCTGGGTAAGGGTATTTCTGAAGTCAGCCATGGGAGGGTCAATATGATTCACAGACGGGTTTGAGTGCTCTTGAAAGTGGGAAATTTGGTTAAAATCGCCCCCCACAACCCAAGGGGCTGCATCAAGTTGGAAGTTCTGGTGAATGGTGAGCAAGTCTACCCAGAGATCAGCACGGTCTTCAGCAACGTTTGCAGCATAAATTGCTGTGAAAATAAATCGGAAGACCCCCGCAACTTTAATTTCGCAAGTGAGCGATTGTCTTGATTGGTGAAGCACAGAGACAATAGCAGGGTTCTTCCAAATGATTATAATCCGGCCGTCAGGATCAGAAGAGTGGTTTGAGGTAAAATTCCAGTCCTTACATACTCTAGACATGACATGGTTCAGTTGCAGTTCTTGAATATGAGTTTCCAAAAGAGCTCCAAAAAAGACTTGTTGATGTCCTAACCATTTATTTACAGGGTGGTGCTTATCCGGGTCATTTAGGCCACGGACATTCCAAAAAAAAGTTTTTGCACTCATAGGGACTGGTGAGGAGCTTCCTCGGGAGGAAGATGATGCTCATCAGCAGTAGAAGATAAAAGGAGGGCAGTGGAGGGTGAAGGGAGGAGGGGAGGGGAGAGGAGGGGAGGGGTCGACTGGTGTTTAGGGGGAGAGGGGGAGAAAGCAGAAAAGGAGAATTTAGAGAAATTTGATGGATCAGAGGTTTCGTTTAGTTTTAGTGATTTGTTTTGAGTGGATTCTAAGAGGGAAAAAGGGTTGAAAAGGGTGATAGAAGGGGGGGAATGGGAGGGGGGTCTCTTAAGGGAGGCTTTATGTTTAAAAGGGGTTGGACGACGGTCAGGGATAGAGATGGCCAAGGAAGCAGAGGGGTCGGGGGTGGGAGGGGTAGGAAGAGTTGAGGAGGAAACTGGGGGCAAAGAATGGGATGGAGCAGGAGGGACAGGCGAGAGGATTTCCAGGAGATCACTCTCAAAAGATGGGTCAACAGGGACAGATAAAGGGATGTCAATAGGAGGAGAGGCAGTGGTTTGGGGTTGTGAGGATTTAGTAAAGGGAGAGTGGGGTTTAGTAGAGGCAGCGGCTTCAGGACCATTAGTGTCAACGGTGGGAATATTAACATCTTTTTCCACCCAAGTGGGGTTTGCAAACAAACAATCTTTCATAATATGGCCCAACTCACGACAATTTGAACAGGAGGGAGGAACCCAAGGGTACGTGACTTCAACAGGGATAATATCACCATTGGATCTCCTAAGCTCAATAAGATCGGGTAAGGGTTGAGAGAAGTTGGCTTCAATCTTAACGTGAGCAAGATTCAGGTCCGAGAGATTTTTTGTAAACTCATCGGTTTCCTTAGGCTCGCCAATTAGACCTGCCGCAAAGCTGAGGCCTTCCAAGCTTCTCAAGTCCAGAGGGAGACCTTTAAGATGAGCCCACAGGGGAAGAGAAGTAGGGATGGAAACTGCAACAGGGTCAGGGTTGCTGGAGTACCATTTTGAGACTTGGAACATGGCAGTTCCTACATACCAAATTCTTTTTTCAAGGACCTTGGCTCTGATGTACTCGTTAGGGATCCTGACTAGAATTGAGCGATCCTTTAGGTTTGAACGGATGTCAAGCTTAGTACCTTTACCCCACATGAAGTTGAGAACACTTTGAATAGCTTGGTAGGAGGGCATTTTAGCAAAGAAGTGACCTTGAATGAAATCTCTGTGCAGGTCCGCACCTCTTTGGAATACTTCATCCGGAATAGTAACTTGTGGGATACCAGCATCAGAAAAAGAAATAGGAGCAAGACGCTTAAGCAGCTTACTTGTACCTGATTTAGCTTTCTGAGCATAAGAATGATGAGTAGTATTTTGGGATTGTGGCTGGGGTTGGGGGGGAGGGGGTGAGTTTTGGGATGGAGGTTGAGGTTGGGAGGTAGTATTTTGGTTGGAAGTAGTGGAGGAATTAGTCGGCTGAGGATTAGGAGGAGGACGGGGGAAGGGGTTGTTTGAGGCAGAGTTTACAACTGGTGAGGAGTGAGAATTTTTTTTCGGTGGGAGAATAGTAAACCCCTTAAATTGGTCAAAAGGGACGCTTGAGGAGGCAGTAAGAGCTAGGTCAGATTCCACTCTAGGAGCACAATCTGTAGTAGAAGAGGGGGACTGAGCCAGGGGAAGATCTGGAACAGAGTTAAAAGGGGGTTTGCATCCCGCCAACACTACAGTAGCAGTCCCGAGGCCACGGGAAATTTGCTTCTTGGACAGTGGAGGGGATGCAATAGATTGCTGGAGGGAAGGGAAATGGTTTACGAAGGCTGGGGGAGGGTCAGGAGGAGGGTCAGGTGGGGGGATGAGGGGACAACCAGCGGTGGTCGGAGGAGGAATCAAGGCGGAGGGACTGTCGGTGGGGAACCAGGGGTTCCCAATTTCTCTCTCTTTCATTTTTTTTTTTTTTTTGCAAAAGTTAATTTCCCTATTTTCCTTTGATGGTTTATACATATACTACTAGTACTGCCCGACTATGCACGGATCAGTTTACTGACTACGCACGGATCAGTTTACTGATCTAAAAATTATTTGATCAGTGTCATAGTTGTCAATCAGAATAATTTTTTTCCTACTGAATAGTATATAAACAAGGGCACATAATATTAGAGGTGTCATGAAATAAAGCGGTTGTGAAAAGCAAACCAATATATAATATTGTTATAAAACTGAAACATGTTTGTTGTATTTTATTTGATATATACATAAATATAAAATATAGTTAAAATACTTTATTTGATCAATTAATTCTTTATAGATTCGTACAAAATACTTAATTTATCTTGATAATAAATCTGAATGTGATGAATCAAATAAACTTAATGTTTTAATATTTTTCTGAAAAAGCACACATTCAAACAAAATTAACTCAGATTAGTTATAGATTGTTGAATTTATAAGAAATTTTTTTTTTACAACTTTAGTTTGCCTTTTATTACATTATAATGAAATCTTATGTCTTGATTAAATTTTTTTTTAATAAAGGGCTTATGTCTTGATTAAAAATTTCATTGTTAACCTTGCTTGAATTAAAGTAAAATTTGCTTGAATTAAATAAATTTGCCTTTGGATTCAGATATGTAAACTCCCTTATAGGTTCAGCAAAAGTATTATTCTTTCAACAAAAGAAACATTAATCAACAGTTCAAAATTTGGTGTTACAAAAAAAAAAAGAAATCTTAATTTGGGAGGGAAAAATAGTAAAAGTGGAAAACATGCAAACCTTCTTTGTCAAGCCAAAACCCAGTGCTTGTTCCTTTTAGTCTCTTTTTACTCAAGTGGAAGAACACTGTGTGTGAGAGTTAGTTATGAGTTTCCACGAGAATAATTTTGCAGAAAAACAGAACTGGGAAATTAGGAAAGCAAGTGTTTTGTTTCTTAGCTAATGGAGAAAACAGAAATCATAGCGTAAATTAGTAGATTTAAAATATACTAGTATTTCCATCCGTGCTATGCACGGGGTCAGTATATTATTTCTAAATTTTATTTGATTATATGTTATACTGTTTTCCGTTTTAGAATAATCCATGATTAAAAAAAAGTTGTTTCTAAAAAACCCATATTTTACATTTTTAATGTATGTAATAATGCAAAATTATAAATTTTAAAACATAAATAGTGTTCTACTGAATTTTGATTGGCTAAAAATATAAAAATCACAAAATAAAAATAAATAATGTATTAATGTCAAAATTTTACATGTTTTCTTAATAAATGTAAAATTTTTAGAATATACATTATTTTGAACAGGAGGGAAAATTTTTCAATCAAACTATTATTATTTGTTATCAAATATTCTATGAGCAGTGGCACATAATAGTAGAAATGCATGTATTCAAACAAAGCTGTTGAAATGGGTAAAAAAATAACTACAAAATTATTTTTTAAATGGATACGTTTGCAATATTCGTCAAAATAATTAATATATATATATATATATCAAACCATAAAATTCAGTTTAATCTAAGGTATGTGATCCAGTACCTCTATTTGTCGTTGATTTAATAATACATATATTTAGTTTAACATATACTGTGAATCTTAAAATGTTTTGCATGTAATAAATGTACTATTTTAAATAGCTTATTATCTTATACCGTTTAAAATAATGATATTACTGAGATATCATGTTAAATTACCATACATTTTTTATTTAAAAGCACACACTTAAATAAAATTAACTAAGATTATTTATTGGCCAAATATATTTGGTGATGTGGACATGGTGAGAGAGCTTTATTTACCCATTTTAATAGTGTATGATATATTCTTTTAGTGGACACAACATTGTTTGTAGATAAAGTATGTTGTTGAATCAGGACCCCATATTCCTGATTGGAGAAGTGGCCCAGAACCAAGTATCTTTTTAAATACCTTTTACTTTTTTCCGTACCCTTTCAAAAGGTAACTATCTTGACAGTTTTTAGAGTTGACGGTACTTAACTTTTTACTCTTTTAGAAGGTAGCTTTTTAACAAGTTCTATAGATAAGTATTTACAATAAATGTTTATACAGAGTAAGATGAATATAACGTTTCATATTACGTGACGGAGGAAGAGTTGTTTATACAGTACAAGCCCTAAAAAATATACACATAGTAAACTCCAAATGTAACTCGCTTGCTCTTTGCTGATGATCTATTTGTATTCTTGAATGGATCAGCTCATTCTGTTCTTGAAAGAAAATGAGTAATGGTGATAAGGTGATTACATGTGTTGATAAGAATGTGACAAAGTCAAAGCAGACCGGTCCTATGCATATGCTGGGGTGCATTGATACAGGGTTCATCACCATTTTCGTTTTTTTAGTCCAAGCTAAGATCATTTTTCAAAAAAGAAAAAATTATATGAGAAATTTTTTTTTGTTCAAAACCCATTTGATACTTGAGACGGACCTGAGTCAAAGATTTTATGAATCATCAGTACTATGGGTGCACTGGAATCTATACTCTCTTGCTCTGTTATTTTGGAGTAAAATTATCTTCTCTCTTCAACCGGATTTTCTACAGTTCTACTATACTCAATTTTTTTTCTTCAATTCATTACTTACGTCATATGGTGTAAGAACAACTCACACATCTTCAAAATGTCACCATCTTCCGAAGCTGCATACTATTGTTGGGGTTGATCGCATGATGAGAGATCGTTTAGTATCCATCACTGCCATTTCAGCTACAATTTTGTCACTCACTTCTTCAATCTCTCTTTTTGTTTCTTTTCTCTTTCTAGTGTTTAAGTTTCTTCTTTCTTGTAATAAGTGACAAAGTATGATTATGTAAAACTGAAAACTGGTATGAAATTGAACATTAAAATCCGAAAACTAAGTGTCATGTTTTACAATTGTTATGTCGAGTTGATGTTGTTTTACGTTGATGTAGTTCTTTTATGACAGAACACTTAAGAAGTGTATTTACACATATATTTAGTTGATGATCGATCTGATTACAAAAAGTTGAGAAACAAATATTAATATTAGTAGTTCATTATATTTTATTTGGTGGTGGTGATGTTTCATGTAACATAATCACTATAAATGATGATTAAGAAAGGGAATTATACCGTGAGGAAGGGAATGATCATGTGACCAGGGACATGCTTAGCTTTCATGAGTGTATATATATAATTAACCAAAGTATCTAATATATTCTGTAAAATATATTATTTTATTGTGACAAATATTTATAGATCAAAAATACAATAATTAGATTTTAAATAACATATTATTTATTAAAACTGAACAATATCAAAAAGTTGAGAAACAAATATTCATATTAGTACAAGTTTCGTCAAAAAAAATATATTCATATTAGTAGTTCATATTATTTTTATTTGGTGGTGATTTTTCATATAACGTAATCATTTTAAAGGATGGTGATTATGATCCAGCTAATAAAGATTAAGAAAGGGAAATATACTAAAGGCATATGTCTAGGTCCTTTAATTTGTTTTTTCTTATATACATAGAAATGCAGTGGCGGAGGCAGTATGTGAGGAGGGGATCATGTGACAAGGGAAGTGCTTAGCTTTCACGGGTTTAAGGCACAAATTTTAAAATGTGATATATATATGGGCTTTTTGCAAATTTGACTCAAAACTCAAAGTCAAACACAAAACTAACCTTTCTTGTTTTTTGATTTTTCGTTTGTCTTATCCACCTCATCTGTTCACATTATTTACGAAAATGCCATTACACTTTTTTTTTTCTTTTTTTGAAAATTATTTTTTTACTCTCTCAACCTCATCATCTTCAAGTATTTACAAGATTGACATTGCCATCAATACCCTAACTACCATGAACAACCAATTTGAAGCTCTTAATGCACCAAAAAATCGAGTTACACTCTCTCTTTCTCAATTGTTATGAATAAAAAACAACATCTCTTTCACTTTGTCTCCATATTCATACAAAAAACCCAAGCTTTTGATTCAAAATTTTTTATGGTTGATAGAGCCATTTAAGCATACAATTCTTGGTGGGTTACTTTCATTTGATATTCTGGGTGGTTGGAGAAGACTTTGTGTGCTAAGAAAGTCATCTCACTTAGTTTAAGGTATGAAATTGAATTNTATTCATACAAAAAACCCAAGCTTTTGATTCAAAATTTTTTATGGTTGATAGAGCCATTTAAGCATACAATTCTTGGTGGGTTACTTTCATTTGATATTCTGGGTGGTTGGAGAAGACTTTGTGTGCTAAGAAAGTCATCTCACTTAGTTTAAGGTATGAAATTGAATTTTTTTCCAGATCTGTTCGCGTAGAAGACTTCTTTGTAAGTCTTCTGGATGAGCTGGACGACTTACTTCTAAGTCTTCCAGCTTTGTATGTTAAAAAAAAAAAAATCTGGACGACTTATAAATAAGTTGTCTAGGAAAAACGGGCTAATTTTGCATTTGACCGAATTATGTCAGATATTTGACTTTTCCTGAACGACTTACCAGTAAGTCGTCCAAGAAAATCAAATATCTGACACAATTCGGTCAAATGCAAAATTAGCCCGTTTTTCCTAGACAACTTATTTATAAGTCGTCCATATTTTTTTTTTAACATACAAAGCTGGACGACTTAGAAGTAAGTCGTCTCATTGAAATTTCAATTGCAAAAATGACCTGTCTGGAAGACTTACAGTTAAGTCTTCCAGCTGGATGACTTTCCAGACGAATTAATTATTAGTCTTCTACTAAGTCGTCCAGGCTTTATGAGTATGTATTAAGAATTTGTGTTAGTCTTCCCAGATGACTAATAATTAAGTCATCTGGAAAGTCTTATAGCTGGATGTTTGATCTTCTTTGAATTTTACTAAGTTTTCTTGGTTGAATAGAGTGATAAAAATATTTGATCAAATCCCGTAATGTTTGATCTTATGTGAATTTTACTAAATTTTCTTGGTTGAATAAAGT